CAAGTTTATGATTTTATAAAAGTAGGTTTTTTTAAATAAAGTTGATTTTTATTGTAGTTGTTAAAAAGGTGTATCGAAGAGTATAATAATTCGGACCAGCTGCGTACTGCCAGTAAATTGTATATTACCATTATTATTATTATTATCATTTTTTCATATACAAAAAAAAAAGTTATAAATAAATAAACTATAATTATAAGTTACCAATAATAATAAATAAATAAATAAATAATTATTTTTGTAAAAGTTACCACAACAAGAAAACAAAAAAAAAAAAAAACAATTTTAATTGTGCGCGTATTGTTGACATGTGAAACACTCCTCCTCCCCACCTCCCTCCCACACTTCCCTTAATCCCTCCCCCACTCCCCGTTTTATTATTATTATTATTATCGTGGGCCGAAAATTTCACTCACTCTCTCACTCTCTCTCTCTGGTAGTTTTTCACAAAATTTTTTCAGGTTCTTTTTTGTTATGGCTCCGACCGATTTTATTTTTAAAAATCTATATTATAAATTTTTTTTTATTTATACTAACAGCATCACATTATAATAAAAATTTTAATATATATTAAACGTGGATAAATAATAATAATAATAATAATAATAATAATAAATCGTGGAATTATAAGTAAAAAAAATTTTTTTTTATATATACATACGTGCATATAAACACACACACTTACATACATAAAACGCATATATATATATATATATATATATATATATATATATATATATATATATATATGTAAATAATAAATAATACAACCGTATATATATATTTTTTTGTTATATATATATATACATATATATATTTGTTATACTGAAATTAATTAAAATTAATTAACATAATTAATGTGTATTATTTTATATATATATATATATATATATAAATAAGGCGAAATTTTTCGTTTTTTTCGTAAATTAAATTGTATCGTTTCTTTTTTTTTAAAAAAATTAATAAATAAATAAATAAAACATTTTGTAGTTATCATATATATACATAAATATACTCTCGTTATTGAGAGAGACAAAAAAAAATTAAAAAAAAAGAAAGATAAAGAAAGAAAAAGATAGAAGGAAAAAAAATATATATATAAATAGTTTTAATACGACTACCTTTTTAATAAATATATTATTATTATTATTATTATTATACGATTTTTTTACGTATACATAAGTATATACATATATATATATATATATTTTTTTTAATTATTATCATTATTATTTGTTTAATTTTACGATGTGAGTTTAAAAAAAAAAAAAAAAACCAAATTGCGGTATTGAAGTTACCAGTGTTTTAAATATAAATAAATAAAAATCACGTGACATTAAAAAGCAAAAAAAAAATTTTCCAAAAAAAAATGTAAATAAATGTAATTTTTTTTTTTTTTTTGGAAAATGCTTGTCACGTGAACGGTTCCTGTTTTTGTTTAATTTAAAAAATTTTCGCGCCATTTTTTTCTCTTTCTTTTCTTTTCTGTTTAATTCCGCATATTCTTTTTCTTTTCAATTGCTTTCTATCTCTCTTTCTCTCTTTATTTATCTTCTACTATCCTATATCTTTTGCATGTTTATTTTTTTAAAAATTATTATTATTATTAAAATCGTTTAAAATTTTTTTTTGTGATTATTAATATTATTATGATTGTTTCTTTTTTTTTTTTATGATGTAAATTAATAATATTTCTTATCTCTCGGGTGCTTCATGTTTAAGATGTTAATATAGTTTACAATATTATATATATAAAAAACATGAGAGTTAATAATGTAAATAAAATAATTAGTTAATAAGGATATTATAAAATAAGTGTTTTATTAATTGTCACTTTTTTTTTCTTTTTTGTTTTCTTTTTTGTTTTTTTTTTTTTGAAATGTAAATTTATATTTAAAAAAAAATAAAATTAATTATATATATGCAGATATACATATATTATTATCATCATTTTTTTTTAGTTTGTTCTAGTCATAAAATAATCCGGAAGAAAAATTTTAATTTTTTTTTTGTTATTTTTAATTGTCATTTAATAATTTTGTGTTCGAATAATAGAAATTCTTTTTTCCGTTCGACAGATGAAAGAAAACCAACCGAATTGATTTCCCCCCGCTCCCCAGGTTACCACGTTTATTTTTTTTTATTAATAATTTTTTTATTAAATTTTATGTAAATTATTTAAAATCTTGAACATGCAGCATCTAATAATGATTTTTAACTTCTACACTCTATCCGAATCTAAAATAATAAATAATAGTAATAATAATAATAATAATAAATAAAGTTTTTTTATTACTTATAATTTTATTTTTAATTTTTTTAAAAATATCGGTGATAGGTTTATTTTGTTATTATTATTATTATTATTATTTATTATTTTCATCGTGATCGTAATCATTATTATTCTTTCTGTGTAAAAGCTGATTGTAATTTTTTTTTTTTTTTTAAGTGATTGCTAAAACATGCTTTTGTTATTCTTTCTTCGATACACTTATTTTTTTTTTTTTTTTTTTAAATTTTTTAAGTTAACAATAATAAATAATAATAATAATAATAAAAGGCTTTTCTGGTATGTGAAAAGTGTTGTTTAGGCCTTAGGTTAAAATATAATAATAATAATAATAATAATAATGTTCACTTAGTGAAAATTAATAATAATATAAAATAGATTATATTGTTGAAATGTAAAATAATAAAATTGTGCTGCTGTACGAGGGCATGAAATTTAAAAAAAAAAAAAAAAAACACCAAAAAAAAAAAAGATAATAATGAATAATAAATTAGGGTGATAATATTTTAAAGGTGTTAAAATTATTATCATTATCTTCTCTCCTTACATTGAATAAAAATCAATTTTTTTATTTTATTTAAGCACTGATAGTAAATTTGCAGCACTGTAAGTAAATTTTTTTAAACACATCTTTTTTGTTATTTTTATTCTGTTTCAGTTAACTGATTGATAAGTAAATTATCATAAATTGTCAATTGTTTATTAAGAGCACTGTTTGAATGTGTTTATGTTAAAAAAAATAATAATTTTTATTATATCACAAATAGTTCATTTTCCTTTTTTAGGCATTTTAACAGGCCTTAAATAAGGATTGTCAATTGTTTCTAATTCTGTAGTCTTTACAGGTTCTTCAGTTTTGTTTTCTCCTTCTGCATTTTCTTCATTTTTTTCAGGAGAACTAGTTTTACGAAATTCATTTTGCCTCATTTCGAATTCCTCATAGTCGAATACTTGATCTTTTAATAACAAGGCATTTAAATAAGCAGGATGCCCTACTTTGCAAGGAATTAATGGAAATGGATTATTATTGTCTGGTGTTAAAAACAAACTGTGTTGTTCTCCAGTCTTTGCAACAAATCTTGTTAAAGCCCTTTCTAAATCCCTCTTTTGAATTGCTGATTTTTCTCTAATAGCTTCATATTCAGTTACAGGTTGCTTATGTGTGGGTGTTCTAATGTAGGCATGAGGATCTGGAAAGACAGGAAAATAATCAGGAACATGGGATGGTGGGGTTTGTTTTACACCTGCTTGAAGAATAGAGAGTTGTTTTGGCTGAGTTGCAGATGTTGGCGCTTGCACTGTAGTTCTATTTTGTCTCCTGGCATGACTTTCAATACCTTCTAATGATATTCCCATATTAACTAAAGCTATAACAACATCTCCTATAACCGGTTCTGTCCGACCCGACAATTCACAATAACAATGACTACTATAACCTAATTCAGTTATTAAACTTTGAAGCATTTCGGTTAGGGTTTCCAATGCTATTTTTTCAGCAGAATCAAATCCTACTTCAGTTAATAAACACGAAACACTTGACACTAAAGCTTTTCTTCTAGCATTTCCCACGTTACTTTCCATTGCATTTTATTAAATATGTTCAAAGTCTACATCTATCGTATTTAATGTTTTTAGATCATAAACATTTTCAAACAAATCTCTCAAGTTAATATTTTTAACACCATGTTGTGTTTATGTATTTATCGTTTTCAAGACAAAATTACCTTATAAATTACTTAGTGAGTTGGCGACAAAAGTCTCTCGTGCACTCTGCATCCGGTCCCTGTATATGTAGAAGTACATGTTGGCTAGTATTTTTTGTATACCTTTAATTTACTGATTCATAATCGTGGCCATCCGTTTTCTACTAAGTATACAAAATGGTGATTAAGAAGGTATGAATTATAAAGTTTTATTGTATTCCAAAATAATCATTCAATAACCGAAAGACAATCAGCTGGATAATAGATTTTTAATTTTGTTATGTTTCTATTTACTGTTCTTAGAATGTCTATGTTATATATTTTTATTAATTAATGTATCATGTAATTATACATGATATGATTTAAAAGCGAATTCAAAATATTTATAAGATTTAGATATTATAGAAATTGTTGTAATGCATTCTAGAGGATTTACAAATTGTTTTATTCTTTTAGGGGAAGAAGAAAGTTGGGAAAAAGGTAGCAGCTGCCCCTTTGGTTGTCAAGAAACCTGAACCTAAAAAAGTTGTCAATCCATTGTTTGAAAAGAGGCCAAGAAATTTTGGAATTGGTTGGTTTTTTAATTAATGTTAAAAAATATAAATATATTTGGTTTTGTTTTTTTTTTTTATTTAAACTATGTGTTTAATTTGCAGGCCAGGATATTCAACCTAAAAGAGATTTAAGTAGATTTGTAAAATGGCCCAAATACATTCGGATTCAAAGGCAAAAGGCTGTTTTATTGAAAAGATTGAAAATACCACCTCCAATTCATCAATTTTCTCAATCATTGGACAAACCAACTGGTAATTATTAATTTATCATTAGTATTCATTTGTTTCAAAGTAGTCTAATAGTTTATAAGAATTGATTCTAATGTTTTGATTTTCATTAGCTGTTCAGTTGTTCAAAATTTTAAACAAATATAGACCAGAATCAAAAGAAGCCAAGGCAAGAAGATTAAAAGCAAAAGCTGAATCTAAAGTTAAGGGAAATGTTGAATTACCTAGTAAGAAAATGAATGTATTAAGACAAGGAACCAATACTGTTACAAAACTTGTCGAGCAAAAAAAAGCTCAACTTGTTGTGATTGCTCACGATGTGGATCCAATTGAGGTAATTATGGATTTCAATTTATCTTGAATTTTTTTTTGCACTAGCTATGATTATTAAACTTTTTTTTTTCGAATTTCTTCATCTGATTGATACTTTGAAGTAAATTAGTTTTAAATGAGCTTATTTTAGAATAAATTATTAATTCTTTAATTTTTTATTTATGTTAATAGCTCTCCAGTTCAAATTAAATCAAATCAATTTTTTTTTTTTTTTTTAGCTTGTGTTGTTTCTTCCTGCCCTTTGCAGAAAAATGGGAGTCCCATACTGCATTGTCAAAGGAAAAGCTAGATTAGGTAGACTTGTGAGAAGGAAAACTTGCACAGCTGTGGCTGTATCCAATGTAATTGAATTTAAATTTTTTTTTTTTTTGGCATACAAATCTGTATAATTAAAAACCAAATGATGATATTTTTAGTCATTGCTATTTGAATTCAAGTGAAATAAATATTAAACCACTGATTTTTGAAGTGCTTCAATTGTTTAATAAATTGTAAAAAGTTTAGCATAAATAAATATAAGTTAATATTTTTATTTTTAGGTGGACGCTGGAGATCGCGCTGCATTTACGAAATTAATTGAAACTGTTACAAACAACTTCAATGAAAGATTTGATGAAATCAGGAAACACTGGGGTGGTGGTGTTTTGGGTGACAAATCTAGAGCGAGAATTGCTAAAATAGAAAAAGCAAAATCTCGTGAATTGGCCCAAAAAGCTCTTGTTTAAAAGAAATAAAAAATTTTATTACTAGAAAGTGTTTTTTTATTTTTTTATTAAATCTTTTCCTTGTTTTTAATTGCTGAATTATTTGAATAATGATTTGTTTTTAGACAAATTGTATTATTCGTTTCTAATCAAAATTTTTTTTAATTTCACAATTCTCAAGAATATTGAGGGTGGAGTATGTATATTAGTTATTGGCGAAATGTTATAACTAATAAGCCATTTTCATTTACTTTTTCTTATCAAATACGGGGAAACTAAAAAATTATTAACAATGTAATTTCAGGACAAAAATAAAAACGAATTTTCAAAAATCATAGAAGAAGCACAGGAAATTTTTGTAATTACAAAAAATTTTATTACGTGTCAGCAGAATGGTTTTTGAAATTTTACGACAATTTTTTTTTTTTTTTTTTTTTTCAGTTGTTAGCTCTTGCATTTAAAGATTAACGGTTTTCAAACTTGCTTAACTAAAAGAAAGCCGAATTCAGGTATAATATTATATTTTGCTCAAATGATTATTGTTTTATATTTTTAAGGTTATAAAAATAAAATATTTCGTATGTATTTGTCTTTTTTTTTTGTAAACTAAAAAAAACTTTATATTTTTATTGAAGGTTTGGCGTACTCAAAAATTTTTAATTACTGGCTTGTATATTAGATTTTTTTTCTAACAATTACTTATTAAAGGATAATTTATTTTCAGAAATGTCCAGTTTTAGCTTTTCAAATGATCTTAATCGTTTATTGACGATGGATGACCCAGTCACAAAAGGACCCTTACCTCGTTGGCAGAAAAAGTTACCGGATTTATCTAATACTAGGTAAAAAAATGTGCATGTTTTGTAAATGTCTAGAATTAACGCGTTATTCAGTGTGCTTTTTACTTTTTTTTTTTTTTTTTAGTAAAAATTGCAGCCTTAATTCATCTAAACTTTCATCAAATTCCAATAGTAATTATTCTTCAAAAACGCCTAGTAAAAAAAGTAGTTATGAGAAAAAAAAGACTCCTTCTAAAACTCCAGCAAAGTCTCCTGGATGTAAAAGTAACCCTGTAACACCATCTCAACAAACAGGTTTGCTTTTATAAAACACAATTTTTTTGAAAAATTGCAAACTAATATTTGAATCTAAATATATTTTTTTAACAATTAAATTTTAGGTGACAGATTTATTCCTAACAGAAGTGCTTCAAACTTTGATTTAGGTCATTTTTTTACAAACAAAAAAATTCAAGAAGAAGAAGACGATGACGCTTTACCGAAAAATGATAATCAGAGGATATTAGCAGAAACTATTCATGGAGGAGATTTAAATAATATGAAAATATTATCATATCAAAATAAAGCCCCTGCACCTCCTGAGGGTTACATGAATCCACTTAGAGTAATGTACAGTCAAACGAAATCTTCGAGTACTGTTAAAGGCTCTTCAAGATACATTCCACAATCTCCAGAAAGAATTTTAGATGCTCCTGATGTGATAGATGACTATTGTTAGTATATTTTTAACTAATGTGTTTAATCGTATTTATGATTTTACATGTGTATTACATATTTTTCAAAATTTAAATTAATTTGTAATTTACTGATAATTTCTAATTCTTAGATTTAAATTTAATTGACTGGAGTACTACTAATATACTTGCTGTAGCACTGTCAAATTGTGTTTATCTATGGAATGCTGCCACTGGAGCAATCGAAGAACTTTTGGAGCTTGAGGGAAGTGATTATGTTACTTCAGTGGCTTGGATTCAAGAAGGAAATTATTTGGCTGTCGGAACTTTTACAGGTTTGTTAAATATATTGCTTTGTAACTTTTTTTGTTATTACTATTCATAAAAATAATTTTTAATTTACTCCTACATGTAGGATCAACTCAAATTTGGGATTGTAATGAAATGAGACGATTACGAACAATGGAGGGTCACACTGCCAGAGTTTGCTCACATTCATGGAATCAATTTATTTTAAGTAGTGGGAGTAGAAGTGGTCAAATAATTCATCACGACGTCAGACAAAGAAATCATACTATAGCAGTATTAAATGGCCATTCTGAAGAGGTAAAACAAGTAATTATTTTATGAGATTCATTAAACTGTTTTTTTTTTTATCACAATTATATTTTTTACTTTTAAAGGTGTGTGGATTAAAATGGTCACCAGATGGAAAATATCTTGCCAGTGGTGCAAATGATAATTTGCTTAATATATGGCCTCAATTACAAGATCAAATGTACACAGCTTCACAACCCTTGCACACATTTAGTGAACATCAGGCAGCTGTAAAAGCACTTGCATGGTGTCCTTGGCAACCGGGAGTGTTAGCTAGTGGTGGAGGTACAGCTGACAGATGTATTAGAATATGGAACATAAATAGTGGTTCATTATTAAGCACCACCGATACAAAATCTCAAGTACTTGAATTTTTTTTTTTTTTAATAAAATTTTATTTTAAATATTTATTTTTAATCGTTATTTAAATTTTATTAGGTATGCGCGATCCAATGGTCCGTTCATTACAAAGAGTTAATATCTGGACATGGTTATGCTAATAATCAATTGACAATTTGGAAGTATCCTTCAATGAACAAGGTAACGGAACTCACAGGTCACACTGCCAGAGTTTTACATTTATGCACGTCTCCAGACGGGTCCTCTGTTATGTCTGCTGGAGCTGACGAAACACTCAGACTTTGGATGTGTTTTGCACCCGATCCGAATAAAAAAGGAGAGAAACCTCAGAAAAAAGCAATTTCCAGTATTTTAAAACAGAGTATTAGATAATTTTTTTTCATTTCGAATGGAAATATCCACCATATTTTTTGTCTGACGACACCCTTTTCGGGTTGTACATACAGATACGTTTTTACACGAGGTAAACGATTATACCGAGACAAATCATTCAGGTACTAATAATATTTTAAGAAATAAAACTCGAGACACTTTTTTTAATAGTGCCTTTAGAATTATAATAAATTTTTTTAATGAAATATTTTTTATTTCATGTTGATGTAGTTAGTGTCGTTTTGGTTTTTTATATAAGTTTTATACTAAAGTCAATTAATTATTATTATTATGTTGTTTAAGGATAACGTCTATTCGTCAGTAGTTTTTCATTCAATAAATTTACTTTGGGTCTCTCTGATAAACTTAAACTTTATTTTACTAAAAGTTTTATTTATATGATATGAAAAACATATTTTATTGCTCAAAAAACAAAAAATTTCTAAACGAAATGTACATAAATTTTATTTAGATTTCATCAAGCATGTTTTTAATGAGTTTTGATATTTAAAAAAAATATATATTTCAGTTCAATCATGGTTTTTTTAGTATTTATTTCATTTTATTATTATCATTATTTTTTTTTTTTTGAGTTGTGTAATCATTGTCATTTTTGTAATTAAAATTTTTTAATAAATAAAGATTTTTTTTTTTTTACGATTGAAGAAGAAAATTTGATTTAAAAAATTTAATTTATTTTTACATAAATATTACAGGAATTAAAATCACATAAGGAAAATTAATAATTTTATGATGATAAATATTTTTATTTATGTAACAATTTAATAGTTTTTTTTAAAATTTATTTAAAATATTTCCCTGCATTGAAACAAATTCTTTAAGGAACTTTTTGAAATGATTTGGCGCCAAATCAAATTTTTCCATTATTCTAGCTTACTAATACTTTTTTATCAATTTTTTATACATGTAAGTTGTTTTTAATACATAATTTTTATAATTTATGTTGTTTTAAATATAAAATATCTTAACTAAAACTATGAAAAGACAAAAAAAATGTTTATACTTTTGTGTGTGGTAAACTTGACCTTGAAAATGCTATTGACTCCAGATTCTTAACGTCAGGTATGTAACCGTCTGGAGAACGCTACAAAAACTTTTTTTGTGTAAATTATGTTTTCGTTTTTATGTAACACTTTATTTTGAAAAAAATAACTATTAATGGATGAAAAACAAGCTCTTTTACGTAAAAAATTTGATTATGAGTTAAAATTTAATAGAAGAGATCAAAAAGTTAGTGAAGATGATGAAGACGTGAGTTCAGAAGGATCTGATGATTGGTGGGAAGAACAATCAGAATGTAGTTCCTGTTGTGAATCTCATTCAGAATCCAGGTTTGTTTTAATGTAATCTTAAACCGTTTTATTATTTTAAAAATTTTTCAATCGTTTTTTACTTTTTTTTTTGCAGTGTTGAATGGGAGAAAGACATAAAAGAAAATGGAGAATTATTTTACATTCAGTCAAATTCTCCAGAATGTACAATCTCATCTCAAACTTGTTATACAAATCAATCAGGTTCAGGTACCTTGGATGATAAAAAATTTGAAAATACTAAAAAAGGTAAGTTAAATTTTTCATATAAAATCCTTTTAAGAGAATGTTAATAAAAAAATTTTTTTTTTTCAGGAAGATTATTAAACTGGATGAGACGAAAAAATAGTAAAAATTTAAGCGTTAGAAAAAATGCTGATAATTCATCGAGTGTTGATTCTGAATTATCTTCACAAAAAAACATTTTAAAAACTAATTCAAATAGTTCAGAAAAAATATTTAAGAATATTTTTTTAAAAGTTGATTCAATCGGTGAAGGTGATACACTCTGCGAAAAATTATTAGGATTATCATTAATATTAAAAAATAACGAATTGGTCGTGATAAATATTGTTCCTAATGGTCCTGCTCATAATTGTTGCAGCATTTCCATAGGTTGTCAATCGAATAATGAATTATTTTATTTTAAACAAAGTTTTATGAGTTTAATTTTTTTTTTTTTTTCGAAAAAATATTTTTTAGGAGATGTCATTCACAAAATAAATAATTTCATTGTTACACCTGATAATATTGAAAACATATTACATTCTTTAAATTTTCCATGTCAGGTAAATTTACAATTAAATATTCTTTAATCTCTCACAAATGAAATAATAATTATCAAATTAATTTTAGGTTGAAATAAGAATTGAAAAAGTAGACAATCCATTAGGAAATAACAAAAGCAATTATCAATCGCCTTTTGTCGAGTTTTTAACAAAAAGAAATGATGCTGTCGACAATATTCTTCTGAATCAACCACTTGGAATAGTTGTTGTTGATGTTGAAAGTCAAAATCTTAACAAGGATGATGTTATATATTGTTATCCTGAAAAATGTGTTTTGTCATCTTGCAGAGGTGCTTTTGTAACACTTTATCATCTTCTTGCCGAAATTAAACCAAATGATATATGCAGAAGGTTTATATAAAAATATTACATAAAATTAGATTTAAGAAAATTTTTTTTCTTTTTTTTTTTTAATTATTTATTTTATTTACTAGTTCAAATGTTAAAATAAAAGAGCAACCAACATACATTTTCTACAATGCTGAAGATAATTTTTTAATTTTAATTGCCATACCTCAATGGAAATGCACACTAAAGGAGGCAACTTATGTAGTACAAGACTTGATAAAAAATTTATTATTCAATAATCAGACTTTAAAAAGGTAAAAATAAAATTACATTTGATTGTTTATACACTACTTAAAATAATCTTTATTTTTAGATGCTTTGAAATAAACGAAAAATCATGTCTCGATCATTTTTTCTCATTATTTTTCACACGACTTTTAATCAACGGTTTTTTATCAGATGGAACCCAACAGTGCAATTTAGAAAATTTGACAAATAATACTTATTTAAATAATACTCCTCTGTATGGTTTTGAAGATATACTACCATATGCCGGTTGGGTACCACTTCCAAAAGAAGCTCAGGTTAATATAAATAAATTTTTTTGTTATCCATTTAATATTTTTATTTAAAAATGTTTTTCTTTTTTTTTTAGATTCAGATCAATGAAGCATTAAACGAATTAGAAGCCAACGATTTTGAAAACATGGAAAGTTTTTTCTTTTTCTAGGGAGTGCAAAAAAAATTAGAACGTGATTTTTTATTAATTATTTATTATTATTATTATTATTATTATTTAGGAGGATGAAAATATAGAAAATCAAAGACTTTTCAGTATTTTGGGTTCGTGTTTTTTTCATAAAGGTTATCTTTTAGCATCACATCTTTCAAAAGATGATCTTCTTGACGTGTATTCATTTTATCGTCAAAATGGTTTAATACAATTATTTAGAAATGAACCCGTTAAATCATTGGTTATTTGGAAACAAGTTTTTCCATTGTCCGTTAATAGAGGATTTTCCAGTAATAAACCTGGTAATTATCCAGTTCCAAAAGGAAAATGGTTTATTATAGTTGTAGGACAGGTAATAACAAAACCGTAATTTTTTACTTTAAACTCATTTTAATAAATTTACAATAATAATAATAATAGTAATAATAAATTTTAGGGATTCGATTCATTGGCTGTTATTTTAGAAGCGGGAGAATTTTGTGCTAAAATTTGTGATAATGCAGGACCGGCTTTACCTTATATCGAAGAAGCAGAAGAAACTTTAATACACATGCAAAAATTGGGAATTTCTTCTTTGGCATCTCAATGGTTAGAAAATAACAGCAGGTTTAGAACGGTCACCCCTGAAGAAGTATTTATTAACAAAATGAATAATAAAAAAGATAATTTATTAAATTTTGTCAAAACTTTTGATGGAACTCAAAAAAATTCCGGTAATGCGAATCTTGTCATTGTGTGAAATAGAAATTCAAATGGAAATTGAACCTAAAAAAGTTCTTTTTTTTTCATGAAAAACAGCACAGAAATCTTTACCTCAAAAATCAGAGGAATCCATTTTGGGAAAAAAAAATCGTGGAACGTTGGTTGTTGATACATCAGAAGATTCCATCAGTCAAACTCCAAGTAATGAAGTTAGCGAAATCAGTGATGAAAATGCTCCAATATTAGGTAGAAGAGGTGAAAGGAATAAAATATCTAATGAAAATATAACATCAGAATCTGATAGTTCAGATTCTGATTGGGATTCCAGCAAAGTAATTATTTATTTATTTTTTTGTATAAATTAATTAAGCAAAGGGTTTCATCATGATTTTTTTTTTGTTTAGGATTCAAATATGAGAGAAAGTGTTTGCAGTGGCAGCAATGAAAATTTTTATTTGTACAACGTCGGAGAAGTTTTACCGTCCAGGTAATAATTATAAATTATTTGCAAAAAACTTATTAAAATTATTATTTATTAAAATCTTGGCTTTAGATTGACGACCGGTCCGGAAGACATTTTATTTTATTACGTTCACTTGGATGGAAACGATGGGATTTTAATGAATCCTCCGATGAATTTAAAAAGGAACACGCCGAAAATGAAAGAACTTTTACAAAATTTTCGACGTTGTTGTCACATAATACATTCGATTTTAGAAAATAACATAAAGTTTAAAAAAAACGCACAAGATAGTACGAAACAATTTATCAATAAATCTTTGGTAGCCGTTAAAGAACATGGCGTCATTTTCGAATGCACGTCATCCGAAACCGATTGTAATAAAAAACCAATGACTTTTACTTATTGGATTATAGGGTAAGGTAATAGGTTTAAATTATTATTATTATTAATTAAATAAATAAGTTTGGTTTTGTTTTTTGTTCTCAGGAGATTATTTTTCACTCCTCAACCACGAGAAATTTACGTTTGTTATCATGACGATGCACCACAAAATCTTGTTGAAATTGCATTTAGGTTGGGATTAAGTGCCGCTGGTTAATCAAAAACCGTTAACTAAATAAAATTTACAATTGTTATTAATAATAAGTTTATTGAATAAATAAAAATAAAAAAATTATCATACATAAAAATGAAAAATTATTTTGAAAATTTGTTCACAGAAATTATTAATTAATTATTATTATTATTATTATTATTTTTGTGATGGTTAACTAAAAACATCATTGTTTGTAATGTATTTTTTTTTCGGTGGGAAAAATTTTAAAACAAAATATTTAACAGTCCATTCATCGGGATATTGAATTTCATTAACGATTCTTTCGGATATGTGATGACCTAAAGTTTTAAATACGTTTCTTCCAACGATTCTTTTTTCTTTATAAAAAGGCATTAAATGTTTGACGACCCACGAGGAAATTCTTTCGGTGCAACTATTTTTATATTTTTCTTCAATCATGTAATCTCCTTCGTTTTCTTCATCGCTATCATCACCGAAAAATTTTAAAAAAAGTCTTTTGTTCGTTATCTGTCTAGCGTAAGACATTTCCGATGCTATCATCGCGTATTTATATTGCTGTATTATTTTTTCGTGTTTCCAAACGAAAGCTCCCCGATGACGGGGTTTCGATCGGGTATTATTTACAGGAGGCAATTCAGGATTTTCTTTAATATTTTGATTTTCTTCGATTCCAAATAATTCTTTCATTTTTTCTAATCTATTCATTAAATTATTATCATTTATATTTTCTTTGGTGTCGTTTTCAATGTCACTAAAAATCTCAAATTCGTCATCGTCTAAACTATCGTCACCTTCGAGAATATGTGCTATGTACGCCCTTTCTTTTTCTTCTTTTTTCTGTTTAATAACTTTTTCATTGTTATCTAATACATGATTAACTAAATTTTGAAGATGATTCAGTGATGCGACAACAGGATCATTTTTATCACATGAATTTTCTAGGGGTGTGTCATTATCATTTACTTTATTTAAATGACTAACATCATCATCAACATTTAATGAGGGGTTGTTTGGAGATCCAGAATTTTCTTTAGAATACTGACAATTTATTGATTCATTATTATTTTCACTTTCTGAAATGTCTTTATTATCATTATGATCGATGCAATTATTGTCGACAAAAGGAGTTTGACTTTCGGTGAGTAGGTTGGTGTTACAATTGTTACTTTTTTCAATATTTGAATTTTCATTAGAGATATTTACATCAGAATTAAGAGTGGATAAAAAATTTGTTTTGGTGTCAGTTTCCATGTTATTTTGTACAGGGGACATTGATATTTCATTACTATTCAAAGGTGGAAGAGGTGAACTTAATTTGATTTCAGAATTTAAACTAACTTTTTTAAATTTCAGCAAATAAGATATATTATCTTCTTTTGATTTGGTCAGAAGTTTTTTTATATATTCATGTGTTTCTTTTTGTTTATTGCATTTCTCAATACCATTAATCTGTAAAATCAATTTTAATTTAGTGAGTGCAAAATTTATTTGTCGAGCAAAGTACATTTTCTGTGATTATCACAGAAAATTATTTTATTTTTCATATTAAACTTACTATTTCAGAAATTACGTCCACATAAATTTCTGTTTGTAATGATGCTAATATTGCTTGCTGTTCTAAAGCTAAAGATAACTTTTCAAGTACATCTTCATTTAGTTCAGACTGATAAAATATACAATTTTCGGTAACTACTTTTTGGAGGCATCCAAAATAATGATCTCGCATCTGCAAGAAATTGGCATTTCTTACCCATTTTTTTTTTTTTATTTCTACAATTACTACATAACCAGCACTACCTGAACAAGTTGCTGTAACTTTAATAACCTACTATTGTCATTATAAAAGCGCGAATTATTGTATTTGTTATGTTGATTTAAAATTTTTTTTTCAAACTTGTTATTTTCAAAAATATCTCTTGAACATTTATAAGTGTTTCTATTATTTCTTTTAAATCTATTCATTTTGTTCATAGCTGAATAATCTCTAATAAATATTTTTTTCTTCTTTGGTTTTCTAGCACCCATTTTTAAATTATTAAATAAAGCTTTTCTTATTAAAGTGTCAGTAATGTTTTTGTGTGAAAAGTTCACTTATGCTTAGCCAACCTAAAAAGCTAACTCGAAATGTGACAATATTTGTTTTTAAAGTTGGCGGTGGACTACTTGTAAAAGTATTAATTATGTATTTGTCAACAATACTGGTTTTTTAGTACTTTAAATTTATTTTTTGTATATTATTGTATATTAAAATGATATTATTTTATTTTTACACATATTTAAGTAAATAGTGATACTTACTTTGAAGTTACAAGTTATAAGTTCATTGATTTTGACAGGCTTGTGCATTGGAGTAACATGGCGTCAACCAAATTAAAATTTACTTTTTTATTATCTTATTTTAATTGGAATGATTTGAAAATCATTTGGAAAAATAAAACACAATATTCAAATAAAAACAAATTAAATTCAATATGGTTTAATTTTTTAAGTTACTAAAAAGTCCGGTACATGGAAAGGGGCTTTTATTATTGTTAATCATTATCATTATTATTTTATTATTATACTATTATCATAATTACTGTTGTTATTCCGTAAGCCTACAGAAGTGTAGGCTCTACTGTTTTTGAATTTTATGAGTAGTAGAATGGGGGCTTCTTCATCTGTCGCCTCCGGAGAACAAGATTTCTCTCGACGTACAGGAATGACTCTTTCTAACACAGAAGAACATTTAGCATTGTTTCATAGAGAAAGAAAAAAAAGAGTTACTGGATTTGCAACTTTGAGGAAAAAGTTTATAAGGAAGAGAAGGTCTTCTAAAACATGTGATCATGGTCGAATTATAAGAGAACTTGTCTCAGATTGGAGTCCACTTGAGATAGGTTCACTTTTGGAAGAGTATGAAGCATTAGCTGCTTTAAAAGACTTATCAGTTCAAGCAGAGCTTGCTAGACCTCCTGCAGCAACTTATAAACAAGATCTATGTGCTTTATATGATTTTAAGTGCTGTACTGATATAGATTTAGTGTTTCGAGGTGCTTGTTTCCCAGTTCACAGAGCTTTACTGTCTGTAAGATGCCCTTATTTTCGTGAATTACTAGCAGGATGTCATGGTCATGGATCAAGAATTGCTCTGGAATTAAGAACCCCAGGTGTTGATATACCAATATTTTCAGTTCTTCTGAGATATCTATACACAGGAGATATTAAACCTGAGGTGGATATTTTATTATATTATTACTTTAAAATTTGTAAAAGTACTATTCAAATAAGTTATTTAACCAACTTTTCTTTTTCAGGATGGTATAGATATAACTGTTCTTAGAGCTCTTGGAGAAGAGTTTGGCTTGCCAGCACCTTTGGAAAGGGATCTTCGCACACTTTTGGAGACAGGAGATTATGCAGATGCTGCACTTGTATTCACAAATGGAGATAATCAGAGGCAGGAATATGCTGGCTCAGAGTATGGATTTAGACCAAAGGTAGGCAAATAGTTTTTAAAAATGCTTTCTTTATTTTAAATATATTATGAGCTATTTCATATTTAATATTATTATTAAATAGGTTGAACTTCCTTGCCACAAAGCCATTTTAAGTGCTAGATCTCCATTTTTTAGAAATATAATTCAGCGTCGAACAAGAACAGGTGAAGAACATACTGAACATGCCTTAAACATGTTGACAAGGTTTGTTATTTTTTCAAATAAATAATTCTAAATACAAGAGCTAAATTTCAATTTTAGATTTTTTATTAATTAATAATGATGATTTATTATAATTTTTTTTATTTTTAGAATTGTACTTGATGAGTCAGTCATACCTAGAAGATATGCGAGACTGTTGCTTAATGTAATTTACTTAGATACAGTAGATTTGTCACTAATTTTAAGAGGTTCTTGTGCTTCTTTGCTTAGTTTAAGTGAAACACCTGCTATTGCTCGTCAGTCAGCTAGGCTTTCTATTCTTGAGGAAGCTATGGAATTATACCAAATTGGTAGATTCCTAGAATTGGATATTTTAGCTCAAGGATGTGAAGATATCATTTTGGAAGGATTAACATTGGATTCCTTACCCAGTGTATTAAAGTAAGTATATAACTTTAGTATTAATATAACATGCAAATTATTTTTAATAAACTAATTATCTATTATTAAAAAGTATAAACACTGAAGAAATGTTATTAATAAAAAGGTTTGATTATTTTTAATTAATTTAGGTGGGGTAATCAACCTCACGGCTCAGCTTGGGTCAAAAGACAAGCCCTTCATTTTCTCAGGGAAGAATTTCAAGCTATATCTGGTGGTCCAGTTTTGTACCAATTAGAAAAGTTTCATTTGTTGGAAGCACTTCAAAGTTCTTTTCTTCAGGCAAGTGAATTAGAAGTTCTTCAAGCAGTTCTTAAATGGGGAGAGCACAGATTAATGAGACGTATGGAAGACAGAGGTTGGTTTTTATAAATTCTGAGTATATAAAAATTACAATTTATCATAGTAATTTTTTAAAAAAATTTTGTATTGTAATAATTTGTATTTCAATATTTTGCAGAACCTAATTTGCTGAGCCATACAGCTCACTCTGTTGCCAAAAAAGGAATTAAAAAAAGGGATCTAAGTGACGTGGAACTTAGGGAAATTTTATCTGATCTTCTGCAACACGTAAGAAGACTTTTTAAAACAAGTAAATTTTTAATCGCTCAGAAATTTACTCATTGCAATTTATTTAATTTTCAGGTTAGAATGGACCATATTTTGCCTCCAAATAGTGATATTTTAACTCAGGCTATAAGAAGAAGGCTTGTTAGTACACCTCCCACGCATATGATAGGGGGTGATCGAGAAGCACTCCGAGTGAATGCATGGATCCGAAGTGGAAAAAACAATGGACTTTACATGAGGCCAAGACTTTTTATGCCTTATTACGAAGAAATAAAGGTGCGAAACACTTTTTCAAAAAGTTTTTTAAACCAATATTTATTACCAAATTATACTCAACATGTAAAATTTTTCAGGCAATATTTGAAGACCAAATGTTGCACCAAACTGAATTATTAAGATTACGGCGATCGCGCTACGTTGCCGATATACCTGATACTTTATATATGGTTGACGATAAACCCAGAACCATGGGTGTCGATGTGCTTGCAGCTGCCATTCCTGGTAAATATTTATAATATTAAAAATTTTTATCGGATATCAATGAATAAATGTTTACATGCCTTTTTAAATTTTTAGTACCAGATCCCGCTGTAATGGCTGCAATGGTTCGACGGGAGCAGAAAATTAAAAATTCTCCTTGCGTACAAAGGGCATTGGCTTTGCCCCTTTCTTCAAGAAGAGAAATTAACCGCCAAGTTCGACTTCGTGTGGTTAGAGAATTTAATTTGCCAGACCAGGTTGCTGACTTGTTAGAAGTGAGTTCTCTGTCTTTAGTATAATAAGGTTGCAGGCATTTTCTTTTGCATTATTAATTAATTCACAATTTTTTAGAATGCTGCGTGCTATTGTGTGGAGCCTGATGATATTGAAGTTTGTGGTCCATCTTCTTCTAAGCCCTCAGGATCAAATATTCCGTGTTTTAACGTTCATCCAAATTCTCTAAGAGACCATGCTTTTCGAACTAGTCTAGAAGTAAGTGAAATGATATTTTTATGTAATTAAGAATCCAAAAAAACCAATGGCGTTTTTACATCCATCAATAATTTCCATAATTTAGCCCGAGTCAAGTTCGTGCAGCGATGGTCACCTGTCTGATGTTATGCCTGATGTGGCAATGGCAACGTCAACTCTTAGCCAGTTACAGTTGCAAGAGCAGGAATTAGAATTAGATCTTGGGGATGGTGCTCCACACGCTAGCACTCCCTCAAGACCTCGTCTTCCAACTACCTCTCGGCAGCCCTACAGGCCAGGACTTCGCTTTAAGTAAAACACTGCCCTTCATTTTTGTAAATAGTCTCTGACAATTATAAGGTACCCAAAATTTTTATTTAAAACATTATTATTATTATTATTTTAAAAACAAAACAATAAACATTTAATCAGATTGTGGGATTTCAGTTAAAATGTTTTTTTAACTAAATAGTAGACATTTTATTTGAAATGAAGTTGTTGGTAAAGCTCATTTAAAAAAAGGGGGGTGAGGGGCAAAATTTCAAATTTTAATGAGAATTTTTTATTTTCAGTATGTTATTCACTTTTTATCCATTCATTATATACTTATTTTCAGAAGAAGAAGAAGAAAAAAAAAATGTAAAAAGTGAGAATGTCTGTATATCTCAGCGTGCGCATTAGAAACTTATCCAAAACGCCAATTTATATATATATATATATATATATATATATATATATATATATATTCAGCCGCATTTAGTTATTAACGTAATAGTAACGTCTGCCAAAAAAAAAAGTTTCATGAATATCATAATTTTTGTTTTTTTTGTTAGCACCATAAATTAACACAGGTGAGAGGGGGATCCCCCGAAATCCTAAATATTAATATATTGACAACAATTTCATGTTGATAATGATCGACTCCCTTCCTTGATTTTTAAAGTAATTTTTTTTTTTAATTTTTAGTCAATCTAAGAGCTCATATATATATATAAACATCAATAGTACCTTTTACGATTTGATCTCTGATCCCGAGGGACGGGTATCGACATACAGAAAGAGGAGGAAGGGTACAATTCATAAATAAGGAATTTTTTTTTTTTTTTTTTTTTTTTGTAAGTTTCGAACGCCGCCATAGAATTC